GGTGAATGAAAATCATACCAACCAATTAAAATATCTTTATAACCAAAACAATAAAAGTATCCAAAAATATTCAAAACCAATAATATTTGACATCCTAAATACCCCAAAATAAAAATCATACCAAGCAATTAAAATATCTTTATAACCAAAACAAATGATCAAATATATTAAATGTGTCTTATAACCGATAGAAACTCACTTTCAATTTTGGAATCAAGAGTGGAGTTTCTCTTGCGGTTGACTTTCTTTTAGCCTTAGTTGAACTTAAATCATATCCAGAATCAACATCATAAATTTCTTGGAGGTTGCGCTTCAAATCACCTGATATTTTGCAAGGACTTGTTGCGGTTGACTTATCAACTGTTGAGGGTGTAAAACTTTCGTCTGTTTGTGAGATCACATCCTAATTTAAAAAAAAATGTTTGATTCCTAAAAAAAATAACTAATATAATTAAAAGTTTATAAAATAAAATGAAAAACCTTTTGAACAGGCTGTACAACATCATCGGATTCCAAAGCAACTTGATTTAAGGAGACAGATTGATTACTCTAAAAAATAAAATGGAAATATGTTAATCGTTATGTACTTTAACATTAAAGAATTGTAAATTTTCAACAATAAAAAATTACATACCATAAGTTCTATTTTACTTTCCAATTCACAAACAATGGACATATCTTCTGTAACTCTGAGAACTGTGTAGATGTTATTATAGTTGTTGACATTGTATTCTGTAATATCTACAACAAAACCAAACTTGCGGTTTTTCAACACATTAAGTTGCATTGGAAATAGGGCATCACTGTCTCCGGCCTGTAAGATATATTTTAATAAATTAAAAAAATTAAGTAAATGTTTTCTGATTTTAAAGGTATGAATAATATACCGCATCATGTATCTTTTTCAACTCGTAGGCACTTATATTTAACAACCTCATTGCTTCCCTATCAAAAAGAGTCAATCCAATGGTTCCGGTACAATCTTGTACGTTAATTGGAATTATATACCTAAAACAAAAAATAATTATGTCATTGTTAGTGTTGTTTTAAGATTGACAAAATTAATAGAAATAAATATGTCTATACTTTATAACTGACTGAAATTCAGATTTTTTGCATTGTGCATTTGTACACTCGACAACCATAGTTTCTGAAATTCCCTCAGGGTTGGTATACGAATGATTGGTTTTGGGAACAGGGATAATTTTTTTTCCACATTTTTTGCATGCTTCATAATACCATGGTAGATTCTGCCTTATATTAACAATGGAAGCAACTAATAAAAACTTCATTTCCTGTATCATATAAAATGTAAAAATTATTAAAATAAATTATGCAAAAATAAAATGTAAAACATATAAAATAATGCAATATACCTTAATTGGTTCGGTGATCTCACAGATTGTTTTTAATGGAAAATTGCCCTTAAAGTCATCTGTATATGAAGAAGAGTAGCTTTGAAGTGTAGTTATGCTTTTTTCAGTTATACCGAAATTGTCATGACATTTCAACCTGTAATGTTTAATTTAGATTCATGAATATTAGGTTTTGTGTTTTTTTAAGTTAAAATACATTATAAAAAAATAAAAAACAATTGGAAACTAACTTATTTTTAAACTCATTTATTTCATAAATGTCAGAATTTATGAACAATTTCGTTACTTCAAAATGACTTTTAGCTTCACCAAGACCTGTAAAAAATGTATATCCAATTATTAAAATTTATATAAAAACAGTAATTATAAACATCTATATATAAAGACTGAATACAAACCATTCCAAATGTTTAGCTTCAAAAACTGCATCACGATAACAACAAAATTAACAGTCGGGTTATTTTTTAGGTATTCTGAAATTTGATATGCTTGACTTCCAAAAATAGTAACCTTCAGATGTACAGAACTAAATAAACCATAAAATAGTATATTAATATTAATTTGTGATTAATTAAAGATAATAAATAATACAATATAATCTCACTCTAGGTTGCTAAGAGTGACTTTTATATAATGCTTGGATGGTACTGGATTTGAAGTTTCAAGAGGCATAAATGACACGATATGTCCAATAACATCTACACAACAGATACCACAAAAAAATAAAAGTTTAGGATTAAATTCGTAATATTTAAATAATAAAATGTATAACCAAAAAAACAAATGATAAAAAATGATTTTATTAATATTTTATGACTAACCAAAGAATGTGTCTTTTGGGCATGTTTGTTCTATGATAGAATTAAAGTCAACAAACATAAATCCATTGATCGGACCCGAGAAATCATCACATTTTTTAGGATGCTTTTCCAATCCAAAGTTAAGGTCTGTTTATGACCTGTATAACTAAAACCATTAGTAACAGCAGCCATATTGGGTTTTATAACTATATAACTTTCATCTTCCTTTAAAAGATGACGAAATCTGGAGAAATTCTGATTGAAGACACGAGCTTGGTATTGTGTACCCTGTTTAAAAAAAAATTAAAAATTATTATGTTCATGAAACATGTCTAATATTGAATGATGAATAAAAAATATATCAAATACAACAAACCTCCTCATCCATGATGATCATTTCAATGGAACAAACTTTATTATTTCTGACAAAGTTTCAAATTTTAAGCACCCGAACCTTGATATGCGATTTTTCATCTATCTGATCAATGTTATTTAGGTAAACCTTATTTCCTATTTCCATTTTCTGCAATAAATTTAATCATTAAAGAATTGTAAGGAAAATTAGCAACCTTTTAAATTAACAGCAAATCAAAGTAAATGAAACAGCAAAACAAAAAAAAACATATTGTAATAGTTAAAGCTTTGAAGAACAGTTTTTTTTAAAGAAAATAAAGTTCTCATTTTTATTACTAATTTCGTATTTTGTAATCATTTTCATTAACATTTACGTTTTTTAAACTGAAAAGGTAGAAGAAGAACATGATTAAGAAGAATTAGCAAAAGGAAGAAGAAGAACATCACTAATAAAATGAAAAATGATAGAAACTGGTAAATCAGACAATTAAGAGGTTAGAAATATTAGTAATGCTGATATTTTAATACACTAACCTGATATTATAATTTTTGAAGCGTTGCAGAATCAAGAAGAATGAAGAAGAATACGTTTGCAAATATTACTATGGAGCAGAATTCGTCTGGAGCAGAATGGTAAAAAGAAAATAACCGTATGAATGCTATTTACGTTTGAATAAATAAGAATAAGAATTAAGAAGATTACGTTTGAAAAAGAATAATATTGCAGATTTTTAGGGATTTAATTTGCAATCAAAATAAACAAACTTTCAAAATTAATGCGTGTTTTTCGAATCTGAAGATTGATTAACATATTTGTTTGCAGATTTTTCCGGAATTATTGAATTTGGATTGTATGGCATTTACATAAATATAGATGAATAAAATGAGCGGGAAAACTCTATTTTGGAGGTCTTATAGATTGACACGTGGCAGAGTTCTACTTATTTATTAGAATTAGGATAACAACAATAGGTATGTATTTCATCTTTCTTTGTGAATTTCAAAATCCTTAGAAGCTTGTTAGGGTTCTTCACACGTTCATAATTTTGTATAACTAATAGTGATAACATAGATCCAACTATAGGGTTGCATGCACACATAGGATTGTTTGTATAAAATCTAACAGTGGTATCTGAGCCATTGGTTTTTGTTTTCAATTAGTTTCTATACAAAAGTATGAATTTGACATATTAGGGTTTATAGCCAATAAACCCTGAAGGCATGATTTTCGAATTTAGGGTTCATAAGCCTTAAATTTCGAAATTTGGTTAGGGTTTCCCAAACCCTTTTTCCTTAGCCTCCAAGATTTTGAATTCTAAGGTTATCCAACCCTTGAATTTCGAAATTGCCTCCTTCCCCAAGATTAGATCCTAAATTCTAGGGATTTGGATAATGTCATATCTTGTAATTATCTTTTAAGTGTTTAAATTTGGGAATTAAAGATTTTTAATTATCCCATCCCATAATTTCGAATTTTAGGGGATTTAAAGATTTGTAATTATCTTCCTCCGAGATATATGTTAACATGGCTCCATGAGGTCGTGACGTGTGTCACCATAGGAACGTGACACATGACACCTTCTAGAAGAGGCGTATGTGGACCACTGATATTGTGACACATGGCATGATTTGGAAGGAACGACGTCGCTGAAGCGCACGACACGCACCCCAAATGCACGATGCACACTTGGAAAAATCACCTATAGTAGTCCATGCCATATAAGCTTCTCACATTCAGTCCCTAGAGCATCTATTTCTCGATATTCCTTCATATAGACCCTTTTTCTTCATTTTTAGCCTCCGATGAAGCCCTGCGACACCCCTGAGCACTCATCAGAGTAGTAGCCTTCAATTAGGAGTTCCTGAGTCTGTATTTTGTCCGCTTAGATCCCATTTCTCATCAATAGTACTCTATAAGTAAGCTACACTTACTATTCTCCAGTATAATCTATGAGTATAGTTATAATTCGTTACTAGGAACTTATAATTAAGATTTATCAATGATTCCAAGTCATTATACTGATTGATCTAATTATGAGAGAGGTGACTAGAATGGTCACGTCAACTTGGTTCTTAGATTTTTGAAAAGCTTTACGCCGAAATGGTCATGCCTCCCGCCTATCCTACCTAGTTGATCATTGCTTGATAGATCTTGATGTAGACTTTGGGGTTGTTAAGGAATCTAAGTCCTTAGAATAATAAGTTCCATGAAATTTGAAATTAGACTAATACTTGGTGTTATGTACATATAGGTCTTTTGGAAAAAGGTGTAAAGCGAAGCTCCGCCCGATTCACCAATTACGAGATATTTTTCCAAGTGAGTGCATAGTTACTTTCATCTTACACATAGATATGAAGTATCTAAATAAATAAAACGTTATATGTAATTATGTGAAAAAAATGTTATGTGTTAGATGAAATATTATAAGATGATTTTTATATGATTTACCATATGTGTATTTTCTTACCTATAATGTATTGGGTAGAAATAGGTAATGGGGGTTGAATAGAATAGAGATGGAGATAGGTGATGAAAGTTGAAAACAATAATAGGCCTTAACTTACTAGTACTTCAGTACTAGACGATGTAGTAATCTATCAGAGTATAGATGACAACCACATATTATTATAGGCAGTCCAGTGGAACACTAGCATACTCGCAACCTGTAGGTGATTTTGAATTATGTATTCACCAAATGTACTCTAAAACCTATTGATATGTAATGTGGTTGGATTCCCTAAAAGAATATTATCCATAAAGAAGATGACCCATAGGATAAACCCTTAGGAAAGAATATAGAAGAAAACCTACTGACAAGTATCACGAAGGAATCTCTGAACTAATATTGTCAGCATAGATGATCCTCAGGGTAGATCCTTAAGAATAATGAAGATAATGGGGATGGATAATTAGGTTAATTATTTGATAATTAAACATATTAACTACATTATTGTGGGTTGAAAACTCTATCTACTCACCGGGTTTCCCAACCTGACCCTCTCAGTTTATTTGAATCATATGTTATTAAATAAAGATACCCATATAATGATGTATGAGAGATTCAAAGAGATGTAAATCGTTAGTATATTAAGACATTTTAAGTCTCCGTTTATGCTTATGTTATCGTATTGACGATGACATCCCGATTTTTATAAGCAAAACACGTTTCTTCAAAAATGCTTTGATAATGTTATTATCATGTTTTTTAGACAAATTCCGCATAGTTAATCTTTTTAAAAGAATACTCTGATTTAATAAGCATAAACAAATTGGTCTTTTCTGACTGTAAAAATAAGGATGTCACAGAGAGCAACCTCCTTCCTCTATTTTTTTCTTCTTTCTTAGCCTCACAATGGCGTTGACTACTTGGAACACGTCCCCCCCGTAACAACCCGAAGTTGTTTATCGCCGAAACCCAATTCGTCCGTAAAACCCGTTTATAGCGGTTCGTTCCGATTCCGTTTTTGGGCTAAGTTTTTTAAATTTATATGTTTATTTTAATCTCATGAGTGTCCAAACCCCTTAGGAACTCATGAAATTGGCCCAAAATGCTTATTTGAAATTTTTTAGAAACGTCCTCGTCGGGTTACAACAACTTGATCGGGTGTGACCAAAAGCTCTGTCTAACGTCGGTATCGGGTAGAATTACACTGTGTCCAAATCATAGACACTATTTAAAGGAGATTAAGCTTCCATTTGAAGCTTTTTCTCTCTCTCACTACTCTCTCTCTCTAACCTCTCTCCTCAAACCAAAGATCTAAGTCCAAAAACATCAATTTAAGGCTTCAAATCATTAAGGTAACTTCCTTAACTCATAGTATAGCATCATTAGCCTTCAAATCCGAGTTTAAGCTATGAAAAAGGACCTCATTCATGAGTTTACGGCCCTGGAGCATGCTTGGGCCGTAAACGCATAAAAAGTGGGTTTTTGAGCCTTAAAACCCCTCCAAACCAACTTTGGGACCTAGATATGACTTTATGGCTTACCAATTCGGACTTAGAACACCCTAAACATGATTTTTGAGGAGTAAACATGAGTTTATTTCCCAAGAACATGCTTGGTCCGTAAACTCATCATTCATGAAGAGTAAACTCAAAAACAAGTGTTTAAAAGCCATTTAAACACACCATTAGCCTTGGAATAAATCCTAGAACCAACCACTATTGATTTGGAGACCTTAAACATGATGAAAACCCTCCATTTGAGAGTTCACGGCCATAACCCCCCAAGGATGGGTTTTAGGGCCGTAAACTCACACAAACTAGTCAAATGGTACCCTAAATTCATTCTAAGGCTTGTAAAAATTGTTTGAATCACATGTGATTGGTCTAAGGTAATTAAATAAAAAAAAAGAAGGATATTGGAGCTTACGGCCGTAAACTCCTAGTTTAGGGTCGTAAAATCCTTAAGATGGTGTTTTTGGTGATTTAATTAATTCCCATGCCTTAGATAAAATCATACCAACTCTTCCCAAGCATTATTTGACCATTTGACACCATAAAACCTACCAACCATGAGTTCACAACCGTGAAATCATGTGGTTATAGTCTTAGGGCCGTAAACTCTCTAAGGAGTTTACTCTTGAAGAGTAAACTCCATTCCTAAATCATACATGACCATAGATGCCACCCGGGTCACTCCAAACACTTGATTTGAAGTGTTTTCGTGTCTTGGAGTAAATAATCATATCTAATTAGTGAATTAAAGTCTAATTAGATATAAATGTGTATCATTTCACATTACATAGGAACCACGTGCGTTTTCAAGCCTTGAACTGACGTTTAGCATCCAAACCGACACATTCCGTGATTGGTGAGTTCATACCCCTACCCTTTTTCCGTGTTTTTCAATGTTTTCAGGGGGGAATACAATCAAAACTACAAATGTTTTCAAAAACCTAAAACTGATATATTTCTATAAATATCTGGCTAACATTTAGATATCTTTATCCCTTATGTATTATGTTGAGCATAGGGGATGTTTTCTCAACTATAACTACGTGAAATTCAGTAAAGGAAACAATCAAACCAATTAAATTATTATGGGAATAATTTGGGATCTTTAGTTCTTGTTTTACGAATATATACTTACATAAAGTTAATAGATAAACTATGTATAATTCAGTTTATCTCTGTTTAATTTAGATTATATTGCCAGATCATTTCATTGTATTAAACTGTTTGTATTGTATTATGTTTCTAAACAATTAGTATGTTTGATAACGTTCAAGAACACCGTGAATAGTATAATACTAGCTTGTGAGGTTCATCATCATTATTAGTAAATCCTCCACGGAAGTGTAACCAGAGTCTCCTGGAGGGAGAGCGTGGAATTTGTGGATAGATCTATTCGGGACTGACAATCTCACACCTTAACTGCTAGCTACAGTTAGGCGGGCACGCCTGGGGTGACAAATTCTGGATATCGTTTCGACATCTGACAAACGTCAAGGAGGTCTCGTTGTTGTATCATCATGGTTACCTGACTCACAATACGTATTGATATAAGTTTATTCACGGATTAAATTTCATATCTACTTTCTATCTATAGTATCATATATCTAGTACGGG